TCAGGTGAGTGTGTGAAACGTATGCGCTAATACGAGCTAGTCATGTGAGCAGCCGTTTCAGGTTGGCTTGTGTTGCAGCATGACAACTTGTTGTGGAATTACGAGACACATGACGATGGTCAGATATCAGTCTGTCTATGAATTGGCGAGCTCGGTGTGACGCATTTCGTTCTGAATTTGCTCGTGTCTTTAGAACATGGGATTTGCGGATTGTTATTATCCTACTGTGACTGTGACTAATCAAAATGGTCAGAGATCGTGGTGAAATGATTCAAGTAGAGCCTCAGTATATTCATGCGTGCAGTAATTGACACGGACAGAATATCTTGTAGTTATGAATGTATATACATGTATCTAAATATACACGAATCAATATATGTGTAGATATTTCCATCTATATAGATATAGATATATAGAAGTGCAGAATGTATTTGTAGCAATTGACCAAGCATAGAGCGAATTGTTGGGGTGTTCGTTGATAAGGATAATGAATGGGTTGGTGTGATTCGGAGGTGTCTGTAGTAAGTGGGAATATGTTGATGTTACTTGATAATATTTGTGATTTTCAGGTGTCGTGCTAGTTATGTGGTAGTCGAAGTTGTAGTGTCGGTGTTTGTTGTTGATGTATAAATGTGGTGTTTGTAAGAGTGGATGGAGTCAGTTGTAGGACGTGGATTGTTTGTGTTTGTTTTGAGGTGATGTTGTGTGTGTGAGTGTGTGTGTGTGTGTGTGTGTGTGTGTGTGAGGTGTTTGTAGTAGGATATTTGTGAGTTGTATTGTGATGAGTTTGGTGTTGGTGGCACACGGATGCGCCTCCATAGCTCAGTGGATAGAGCACTGGTCTAGTAAACCAGGGGTCGGGAGTTCGATCCTCCCTGGAGGCAGTGTGTTTGCAACCACTTCGAATTGAGATCATGTTCCAGTCGTGGTAATTTTACTAACTGTCACCACTGATCACCAACCGTGACGAAACACACTCGTCCCTGTTCAACTCGAAACTCACAAGTTCACATACAAGTAGGCATCGACTCCAGTCAACTAAACCACTTACAAGACGATCAATCAATTGGAACACCGGAGCTGATGATATTATATACCCAGCTGTCAACAGCACCGTCATAGTCTATCGTCAGTTGGACTCAGTGGAAATAATTGAGGAGCTCCCGTCCGGTTAATTCTAACACGAACTCATTCAACGAGAAGCGTTGAATGTTGAGCGATGCACACACACACACACACAGAGAGAGAGAGAGAGAGAGACGAGCGTACCACCGGAAACCTGTTTTTCACTCGACTCCGATACACTTGGAGCATATCATGTGAGATTATTATCTCGACAGAATTGTGCAACTGTTTGTGTACTTCGGCGACACTTTTGTCAGGGGTTAGGTGTCGACCTGTTGAAGAGTGGATAGTGGAGCTGAGCATTCGGTAGGTTGGTTTGCATGGTGATGCGACTTTCTCTCTCCCCAGAACAGTTCGTCTACACAAACATTTGACAGATATTCTCAGACACACGCGACACAAATGGATAGGTTCTGATGAGGCTTGTTGGTAAAACAGAGTTTAGACGGTCTGCATAGACCACGGAAGAAGTGAACATCAGTCGTCACAGGCTTCTCCACCGATCGCCACCACGTCGTCATCTGGTCTGCATGAGACGTTCGTCAGTGATCTTCCGTGTCTGGTAGGATTAGGGTTTCAGGTGAGTGTGTGAAACGTATGCGCTAATACGAGCTAGTCATGTGAGCAGCCGTTTCAGGTTGGCTTGTGTTGCAGCATGACAACTTGTTGTGGAATTACGAGACACATGACGATGGTCAGATATCAGTCTGTCTATGAATTGGCGAACTCGTTTTGCCGTATTTTAGTATGAATTTGCCTTCATATTCTGATTCATGTTATTGTTGTAAGGACAGAAGTCCTACATTTTATATTACTGCTTTTCTAGTATGCTTCTCTTAATGTCCAGTCTTCTCTTAAATGTGTCAATTAAAGGTGCTTACACCACTGCTTTAGGTTGCAGGTTCCAAGTATTGATGACTCGTTGTGAAAACCTGTATGCCACGGGTATTTTTTTCGTTCTTGGCTTTTCTACTAGCCTACTATGTCCTCTGAGTTGTCCCGATCTAGTGGGAAGAAAGAGAGAGAATAATTTAGGTCCGAAATCATTTCTCAGTATTCTGTACATCAATATTAGATCTCCCCTTAGTCTGTGATAGGACAGAGTAAAGAGGTTCAGTTTTTCAAGCCGCTCTTTATATGATAAACCCTGGAGTTCCGGAATTGCACGGGTAGCTGCCCTCTGCACTTTTTCTAGTATTAATTAATTAATTAATTTATATTCTGAAAAATAATAATTACAGTATTCACGCCAGTTTACAGGCATGATCAATTTGATATGTCTGAGTCACCTTTTAAACAGGTGCTTGCAGCCTGAACACAGTTCTCTAACTTAGTTCTCACTAAGGATGTGTATAATGTGGTGAACATGGTAGTATCAAACTTAGTGAATGTCCTTTTTTAAACCCAGAGGGTTCGAAACCCCTTAACTGCGACCTCCCGGCAGTGGGCCGTCGTCTTAAGATCATTGCTCACTGTCACCTCTAGGTCCTTATGAGACCGGACTACGGGTAATGACACATCCCCTATGTTGTACGTATTAACCTTTGAATCCCCCAAGTGCATGTAGACACACTTTTCCGAGTTGATAGGCATTAGCCACTCTTTAGACCAGTTTATCATATTATTTAAGTCCGCCTGAAGAGTAAATGCGACTTTGTCTCCAGTTATTACTCGCCAAATTTTTACATCGTCAGCGTATAATAACATTGGAGACTGTACTATACTTGTAAGATCATTAACGTACATTATAAAAAGTAAAGGACCTAAGACGGAACCTTGGGGTACTCCACTAAGTACTGGTCTCCAGATGGAGCACTTGGAATTTATTCTTACTTTTTGCCTACGACCTACTAGGAAATCCTTCATCCATTTTAAAAGAGGTCCGGCAATACCAAGGTTTGCCAACTTCAATAGCAGTCTATTAGTTGGCACCTTGTCAAAAGCCTTACTGAAGTCTATGTTGACAATATCCACTGAGTTTCCGTTTTCTAGCGCATTAATCCAGAGCTCCCTAGCTATAAGGAGGTTCGTTGTACAGGATAGACCCTTTCTAAAACCATGTTGTGCCATGTTCAGCAAGTTATTGGTTTCCATAAATGCTGTTATGGTCTGTTTGATTATTCTTTCCAGTATTTTAATTACAACACTGGTGAGGCTTACGGGTCTGTAATTTGATGGAACTTGTCGTAGACCTGTTTTATGTATGGGAGTGATGATTGCGTCCTTCCAGTCCATAGGTAACACATCTTGGTCAAGTGACATTTTGAATATCACAGTCAGTGGGGCTGCGATATATTCGGCAATATGTCTCAAGATTTTAGGGTGTAATTCATCTGGTCCTGTTGACTTCTCCATGTTTAGGGTGCTAAGAGCCTTAAGCACATCGTTTTGGTCGAAGTCCACGGTGAGCAGCTGGTTTGTTGACTCTGTAATTGGGTCTGGTTCTTTGTCTAGAGGAGGTTCCTGAGTGAAAACTGCCCCAAAGTAGTCAGCCATAACCTCAGCTTTTTCCTGATCTTCCTCTATCATTTCAGATTCACTTCCTACTTTAATTAGGTTGGGAATCCAATGATGAATCCTTGTTCTGTAGTTTATGTACGAGAATATCCTCTTGGGCTGCTTGAGTGCAGATTGTGCCAGCTGCATTTCATATTTTCTTTGCGCTTCCCGAATTTTAATTATACACTCGTTTCTTATCGATCTGTAGCGTTCCATCGTACCTGCTGTGCCAAGGCGGATGGCAACATCCCAGCATTTCTTCTTTTGTCTTAGTAAGCGTCGAATATCCCGCCCTATCCAGGGATGTCCGTGCTTCTTTTTCTTTGGGACAGTCCAGGGTATGTATGGTTGAGTTACCCGATTGTATAACTGCCTGAATAGAGTCCATGCCTCTTGTACTGATGCCTTTGAGTCAATTTCCCAGTTCTCAGCCGATGCTGCGGAGTTAATTGCCTGCATATCTGCCTTCCATATGTTAGGACGGGCCGGCGCAATTGTTTGAGAAGCAATCTCAGCCATGAATTTGAATAAGATGACTGCATGGTCACTTCTCCCAAGTGATGGGAGAAAAGCCGTTTGACCAACGTCATCACCGTGTGTGAAGACTAAATCTAAAAGAGAGGAAGAGTTTCTTAAGTCGTATCTTGTGGGATCTCTAATGTGTTGGAATAATGCTAGTCCAATCGAGGTTTCTAACAGTTTGGAGTCGAACGACGATATGGATGACCCTACTTCTAAGTTAACCCAGTTTATATATGGTGCATTAAAGTCGCCTACTACAAAGCTTTTACCGTTGTTACACCAGGACTTAAGTTTACTAAGGAGAAAATCATCTGCTACACATTCTGGACTGCGATAAACTACAACTACTTCAATATCTTGCCTTCGGCATTTCAACTTACATCTCACCAGTTCACATGTCCCTGAAACATGTGCTACTGTCTCAGCCAATCTTATGGTTAGGGTACTTTTCGTGTACACAATAACCCCGCCTCCTGTTCGGTTTAATCTATCAGCCCTACTGGTTATGAAACCAGTCAATTGGATTTCACTATTTAATACTTCTGACGTTAACCAAGTTTCCGAGACAGCGATAACGTCCGGTTTTTCTTTATCCATCACTGACTTGAGCTCCGCCATTTTATTTAGTAGGCTGCGAGCATTTGTGTAGCACACTTTTAAGTCTGTGGAGAGCTTTCCCTTGCCACCCAGAGTGGCTTGGGGATCGTTTTGCTCCGAACTTTTACAATCGTTTATATATATATATCAGTATGTATCTATATATTTTTCAATTGTATTTATTTTTTTAATATTTACGTTGTACATTTTTTACTCCCGTATTTTGTTTTCTATTGATTTTGCTGTAATGAATAAAGAAATTCTGGTATTTCAAAGGAATTTGTTACTGGTTCTATGTGTGCTGTTCCTCAATTAGATTTATCATGTCTTTCTGTTAATTCTGATGATGACAATAAATCATTTACTACGACTGGGCGTGTTGAATCTAATGAGACTAGAAATGAGAAATACTTAGTAAGACGAAATATTTATTATTTCTGTTTTATCATTCAATGAATTGAAACAAAATGGATATAAAAAAAATATTCATTTGTATTTATCTGCAATCTATTTTTTGATGGTACACATTTATGATGAATACAATTGTAACGAATCATCTTTTAGTACTTTAAGTTAGTTCACTGTAACAATGGTTCCAAAGAATTACACTGTTTGAATTGTTTCAATCTTCAATAGTATTCGTGAAATTGTCAAATAATGTACATTCATTTTTATTAATATTTGATCAGATACAGTGCCTGTTAAGATTATGTGTTGGCATCGATGCTTGACTACGTACCTTCAATTAATTTATCTTCAGAAAATTAACTATGTCAGAACCATATATTAAATACTTATTGAACTATTAATTTAAGAGAATTATTGAAATCTGTGAGTCTAGGTTTCCATACTTTACTTCGTTATTTGTTTGGAATACGTTTCATAATTTTGAAAGTACTGTGAAATGTGAATTGATATGACCAATATACAGGTAGATTATGAGAATTATAAACTTTCCAAAAGTATTATCAATCTTCTTACTATGCTATGAACAAAAAATCTATCATGTTAGGGATCACGGACGGAGATAGAATTTAGAGTGTGCACTACGCTCTATTTGGAATTTATCAACTAAAGCTACCCACATCTACTTTAAAGTTCCTACTGAAACTAGAATTATTGTTCAACGACTAACACAGTAGAATGTTACACATGCTACTAAATCTATTATTTTCGATGATAAAATATGTGGCATAGTTACATTTTGATTGAGAAATTCAGAATGATTACTAGTAAAGCCGAACTGTAATCTCAAACGACTTTGGGATCAGAACTTGTTTAGTCTGTCAGGAGTCAGCAAAGATAAATAAATTACTCACGGCACTAGGACTTGAGATATATAGTTTACGAACCTTGGGTTAGATTTGATGTCATTTTGTGATGTGAATCTCAACCCCCAATCTTAATTTGTATTATAAACAGGAGTTTATAAGCTAATTTTAATGAATAAGCCTTGAAATCAGTTTTTAGGATCATCATCTATTGGATAGTATTTATCTGTTTTATCAGATTAGTTCGGATGGGAAATTGGTTTTCGATGGAGTTTTGTTCACTAAATTGGATGGTTTGATCGTAGAGCTTTCATCGTTCTTCTAAACGACATCATCAGCACAAACTTCAATTAGAAGTGAAGTGTTAGAATTTCTCCACATGCGGTTCACAGCTTGTCCTGTACATCTCAATGTTGATTAATTCTTGTTGACCTTAAGCCTGTCATTGTCAAACATAGGAACAAAAATCAAACCAATGGGAGATACAACCAAAGAAACGAAGTAAACAATAACAAGTTTAAGGTCAACAAGAATTAATCAACATTGAGGTCTAGAAGACAAGCTGTGAACCACACGTGGAACAAATCTAACACTTCACTTCTACTTAAAGTTTATGCTGATTATGTTCGTTCAGAAGAACGATGAAAGCTCTACGATCAAACCATCCAACTCAGTGAACAAAACTCCATCAAAATCATCCACCTAATCTACAAATCTTCTCCATCATCTCGAAATTTGTTCTCCTCACATATTGATACTAGCTTGAGAAGTAATAAAAACTAAATAACACCAAATGGTACTAGACCATTGAATTTCAACTCATCTATCTCAATATAACAGAACTGTAGGCAAACTTGTTATAGATTATACTTTAAATATCATTATGGTTGTGGATCATTGAATAGTTTTATACTAAAACAAAACAGCTGCCCAATGTTAACTAGACTTCTATAGTTCACAATAAACAATTAAAATCAACATAATATTCAAAGTAGTTAGTAATTCTTGTTAAAACTTCTTTTCATTCTCCTAATACTTCAAATTTTTCTTTTTTTTTTCTTTTTTTTCATAGATGAAATTGACATTCAATGCATGGTATAATGTAATTTATAATATAAAAATTCAATTTACAATGTTACAAGCTAAAAATGAATTTCATTTAAAAAAAACTTATTTTAATTATTGGAAATTAAAAATGCATCAAATTAATTATAATCGTGATATTGAAAAGGCTAAAATAGATGCCATAGAAATAATAAAGTAAGCTCATTTGAAAATAATATTATTATTTCAACTGCTACTACTCCTCCTCCTCCTCCTACTCCTACTCCTACTCCTCCTCCTCTTCCTCTTCCTCCTCCTCCTCCTCCTCCTCCTCTTCCTCTTCCTCTTCCTCCTCCTCCTCCTCCTCCTCCTCCTCCTACTACTACTCCTACTTCTACTCCTACTTCTACTCCTGCTCCTCCTCCCCCTTTTCCTACTACTATTACTACCACTACTCTCACTACTACTACTACTTCTACTACCACTACTACTGTCACTACTACTACTACTATTACTACTTCTAATAATAATGATAACAACAATAATAATGATAATACTATTGAAAATAATCCGGTGACAAGAAGTTTCTTTTCTTCTATTTCATTCACTGAAGCCATAAAATCATAGTTACAGTTAAGAAAGCTAAATGAAGTGAATTATTTTAAAAAGAGAATGGGATTATCGTATTAATAATCGTGTTCGGGTATATTTTGTAATAATTCTGATCACACTGCTGAGATATACATAAGTATTGATATTATATAACATAACATAAAAATTAATAATTCTTAGAGCTAATAGCCACAAATGGATCAGTAATAAAGATAGAAAACACAGTGAACTCCTTTGAATGTATTATATTGAGATTATTATTTACAAACATCATATCAGAAGACCTTAAGTCTCAATTTATGGAGTACAAAATAAATTTATCACTCAAAATTACCCCTCCAAGTCATTTACATGACCAAGCAAGTCGACTGAATAAAGATAATTACTTTTTAAAAATTGGGTATTTAGTAATTCATGACTGAACTCTATATGCGTAAGCATCATTTTCAATCTATTATCCTTCCATAGTTCACATTTCTAATCTATTTTCACTTCACCATTTTTATGTGATTGTATAAATTTTTTCTTGATACCTGAAATCTTCAAACATTAATAATGAATCAATCTCGTTCTGTTTTCCAGTCAGTTACTAATCAAAATACTTCGCGTTTTTAAGCCAACTCTTAATTCTCATTGATTACTGTGATATGTTAGCAGTACAAAACTAACCTTATTGATACTTTTATAGAATGATCTGCATATCAGAATTTAAGATTAATAAACCGGATGTAAACTCAAATACATTATAGTTGGAATTATAAATTTGTAGAGATTTAGGTTTTTCAATTCTCAATGACTTTGAATATATACATATAGATGCCTTTGTGTGGGAACATTGTGCCGCCTATAATCAATTTATCGAATGCATATAGATTTGCGAATCTGTCACCATTCTTGTTCTTTTCTCTCAGTCAGTTCATGCTGTCCCATGATATCTTCATAATCAGTGTTGTCCATTCCAACTTTGGCCTTTAGATCTCCCGTCAGGATTTTCATGTCTTTTCCTGAGCAATTCGCTATGATCGATTGCAGCCTCTCGTAGAATTGGTCTTTATTGTCGTCATTGCTATGATTGTTGGGTGCATAACATTGAATAACATTGGTCGTAATTTCCTGGTTCTTTGTTTTGAAGAATCATTTGATGATTCTGGAGAGGTGAGATTCCCATCCTGTAAGTGCTCGTTGGGCTTGTTTAGACAGCATCAGAGCAACTCCCTGAGTGTGCGGGGGATTTTCCTCTTCGCTACCGGAGCACAGCAACATCTATTCCGAATCTATCCTTTTCTGTTTAGTTCGGGTAGAATGAATTTCCCTGATTCTGACAATCATCAGGTTGTGTCTTCTCATTTCCGTGGCTAGTTGATTGGTCTTCCCGGTCTCCCACATTGTCCGAACATCCCATGAACATATATTAATTAGTGCTCTGGTTGTTAGAAGGAGTGTCGGCCTCGTAACTTCTGAAGAATGTCGGCCTTAATCATGAGACGTCATAATTCTTCTGAATGAAGATCGTTCAACTAGGAGGACAGAGTTTAAATGGTTAAAACTTTTAAATCTGGTTAGCGTTATTTAACAAGTTTGTTTTCTATGTGATGGGGATTCTGAACCCATACTCAACCTTTCTCTTATTCGTGCTTGGGATCAGAAGAAACCCTAGAAGTGCTACAGGTGAAGTTATTTTAAGCAATAGTCTATGTTTAAAGCATATTCATAGTAGAAACACGATATTACAATGTAAACTAAATGTTTTACAATCGACTAGTTTAAATATACAAAGTAAATTAAATTTTAAGGATAAAGACCGTCCCGGAATTTATCTATACAATAAGCTGTTACCCATCTATGCAGCTTTCATTATGTATGGTTCCATAAAATGAAAACACTAGTAAGGTTATAAAAAATATTACGGATTTTGTATAAAACTTCATATTTATTTTCTTTATTTAAAGAAAAGAATATAAAGCTAAACAGTTTCATGAAAATTTCCTATTGAAACAATGTTTTACACGTTGGAGTTGTACAATACGAATGGAGAAAGTAAGTATATAATATTTTATCTATGAAAGGCTAACTGTAACAAAATATTTCTCAATTTCTTAATAAAATACTTAAAAGATTTTGTCTCAGAAATACTGTTTCATCATATTTTTCAGATACATAAAATCTCCACAAAACCCCTTCTGATACTAATCAACATTTGCTCACTAGCGACTAGCGTCAAGAAGTATTTTCTGGAGTTCTAGTGAGAAGTAGTGACCAGTGGAGTTCAAACAGGTCTGTTGTGAGATAGTAACTCATTGGTGACGATGATAGATGTGTCGCCCAATTTTGTGGATTAGTTGAAGTTAGACATTAACACCGTTGAGTGCCGGACGGCTCAGCGGTCTGGCGGTTGGACACTCGCGTGCGAGACCGATAGGTCTTGGGTTCGGGGTCGGTGTTGCGCACTGCCGAGGGTCCCACAATAGGACGAAATGGCCATCCAGTTCTTCCAGATTTTCCATGGTGGTCTAACTTCGATTGACCCATGATCTCAACTATTGAAATGACTAAAATCTCCACAAAACTCCTCATACTGAAAATGTGTATATTTATTCGTTGTGTTATGCATCCAAATGCATTGATCTAAATCAAAATATATTGTAACGTTCATGCAGATGTGAACAAAGATAATGAAAATTGTTTCTTAGAATCGCAGAATCAATATCAACAGGCAAAGCTGTTAGTGGTATATGGAGAGGGTGGAATCGTTCACGTCTACCTGAAGTTTATGCTGATGATATTGTTTATAAAGACAAGGAAAATTTCATGATTAAACCATCCAAGATAGTGAATGAAACTGCATTAAATTCATCCACCTAACCTACAAGTCTTCTCCACTATTTCAATTACTGGAAGTTATATTGTAAAGGATATCTAGCTCCTTTTGTAGTTATATTCTTTTGGGTTACATAATATTATGTGTAGAGTTTTTTTTTGGGGGGGGGTTTAGTTACACCTATTTGTAATGGTCTTAATGATCGTTTTCCGGTCTTCGGTATTTTCTTCTCATAAGACAGAAGTATTTACTTTAAAATACTTCAATTAGGTAGTAAATAAATTAGACACTGTTGTAGAGTTCTATATAAAGTAGAGTTGATTCCTTTTCATAAAATGGGCATTAACTAAATAACATTTCCAAAATATTTAGAATGTTATAACTATTTTAAATTAATTTCAGACCTTTTGCAAACACAATAACCTATCTCGGAAATATTATTCATTATTGCCTAACAGTTATATGATTATTTATTGTATTGTTAATAACTGTAAACCTTTCACTATCTATCCTTACTTATAAAGCCTGTGACTTAAGGCAATATCTAAGTAGTCCGCACAGGATGCATATATGCCAATAAGAGACTGATCAATTGCAATTCTAATTACCAATGTGAAGATTCAAGTAAACAACATCATGTGAATTTAAAACTTAACCTCATTGTATAAACTAGTGACTATCAGGACTCAGTAAGTAAGTGGATAACCCGATAGCGTTGGAAGTGAACGGTACTGTGCTCAAATTTCATAGCGAACATCAAATCTGAGATGCAGGTACATCCAGCTGACGAGTCCCAAATAGGACGAAACGAACACCCTGGACTCCTCTTCTAGCCACTATTCATCTTTGCTTCTCAGATGTACATTTCTCAAAAGTTTCGGATAAAAATATTTTTTGTATTGTTGGTTACAGTAATATAGTATATATGACCTTAGCTAACCAGACAATACATTTATTTCATATCAGCTAAGTAAAAGATTATATCCTTCATTCTTTTACAACTTCTTTTTCACAGTCAACTCGTGATCAGTTAGAAAAAGAATCATTCAGACGTGAAAAAGAAATCGAATTTCTCAATCACTTAGATACTTTAATGAACAATCATCAAACAAAAATATTAACATCTGATAATGATAATAATCATAATCAAAATAATGAAACTATATCACTTGGTAATCGTATATGTTTAACTGATAGAAAATCACAAAAATCAAAGGTAATTAATTACATAACTTTGTAGTAAGGTTATTTTCACTTGTAAACATTTTCTTTTTTCATTTTTCATTAGAATTTGTCGTGTAGCTTATTTGGTGACTGGAATTTCACATACTATTTTGATTATTAATTATTACTTGAAGTTAGACATTAACACTGTCCGATGCCGGCTCAGTAGTCTGGTGGTCAAGTACTCGCGCGCGAGACCGATATGTTCTGAGTTCGAACCTCGCGGGGCGGAGTCGAGGAGGAGGAGTCCCACAATAGGACGAAACGGCTGTCTAGTGCTTTCAGGTTTTCCATGGTGGTTTAGCTTCAAATGACTCATGATCTCAGAAAGTGATATTAATTAATTTGCTAACCACTAAACAAATATAATAGAAAAATATAGAATTAGTTTACATTTTCTTGAATTGAACTACTAGATTGGATAACTTTATAAGCAAAGTTTGATGGTGGCTAATAGTGGAATACAGTTTGACGTGCGTTTCGTCCTATTTGAGACTCGTCAGCTGGGTGTCCCCGCTAGCCACCATCTAACTTTGCTGATAATGCTTATGAATTAAGGCAATATCAAGGCAGTACACAATGGATGCACATATGCCAATGAGAGACTGATCAATTTCAGTCTTAAGCAACAATGGCTGATTATCTATACCTTTACTATAATTGGCATGCTTCCAGAATTTTCTGGGAGAGTTCTGTCACATGGAACTCTATAATGTACACTCAATTTTCTGAACATACCCAACCTTGAAGTATAGGTTTTCATTGCATTTCTTATCTTATTGTTAGGCAGATTCAGAAAATTCCTCGAAAAAAACTGAAAAAGGCCCTGCAAACGCTAAGAAACGTCTTATCCAATTAGGATTCGACAGAAGTTTTGCCAGAAACATCTAGGAAGTGAAAAGTCACGTGTCGCGCTTCTGATTGAATGATTACCTATACTACTACTATGCTTGGTAACGTTCAAGAAATTTCCGGAAAACCAAGGCCATATAAAATACTATAAATACCCTAGATTTTCTGTGCATGAATGGACATTTGGAGTAAAGCGTTTTTCCATTTATCTCAGCTTTTCTCTCATGTTCAAGTCGCTGTGTAGATTTGGCTTGGGTGCTAATAAAAGAGCTTAGTAACCGAATCTAGCATTCAATTAGAAGGCTTATCACTTCTCCCTATTGCTTGAGCTGATAATCTTAAAAAGATTATACATAGTGATGCTTGAATAACATACTGAATATATAAACCTGTATGAAATAACAGCTTAGCCAGTTGGACATTATGCCAAAATGACTTTAAAAATTGGAAATATGTTTACAAAACAACCCTCAGATGATTTTCAAAAAATGCATTTGCATTAAGGTATGCCAAATTCAATCGTTTCATGTCACTAAAGTTTGAGTTGCTCTTTAAGAAATTGATACTATTTTCACATAAAATGTTTCAGTATTTGTATTTTGTCGTTGACAGTAAGGACTGTAGCTGATCATTTATTTATGGCACAAGCACGTCTTGAACGAACTGTCTTGATATTGCCAAATATTCACACTTATCTTGACAAATTTAGGTAATGGATAACAACTGAATCCAGAACTGACGCGTACCGAAAAAGACAAAACTCTTGTCCTAGGTCTCCGAGTTAACTACTAAGCTTTGTTAATTAGTAAATGACTTCATTGTGTCTAACTGTCATATACCTGAAGTTTGTGCTGATGATGTCATTCAGAAGAATGATGAAAGCTCCACGACTAAACCTTCCAGCTCAGGGAATAAAACTCTATCAAAATCATCCACGTGAGCTACAAATCTTCTTCACCCTCTCAAATTATCTTCTCCATCATTACTATCAATAACAAAAGATTTTTAGTTATTCAGTTACTTATTTTGGTCAGATATACATCCGATTATATTTAATTAACATTAGAATGCTCATCCAGGCTGTATTTTATGTTAGAACACTTTGATAAGCTCATTTTGTTTGGTAGTACTTTTATTCACATAATAACTAGAATGATTCTTCTAACTTTAGCATTTGCTTAAGGATTTATTCATTGTCTTAAATAACAGCAACATACATTATCATGTATCACTCAATTAACTTTAATGATGGATTGTTGTAATTCGTATTGTCATGTTATTTACTTATAGGTTATTATAAGAGATACTTGTTTCTTAATAGAAATCGAATTGATTTTTTCAGGAGACTGGTATGCTATAATCTCGTTGTAATTTTTGTAGAGTTGAGTGATGTATGTTCCCAATGATCTTTCACCAAATTCATTATTATCTTGTGAATCCTGTTTTTTGTGAATTCCAGACTGTAAATACCAACAAAGTGTGTTTGAAATCAGCGAATTCATCTCCTTCAGTTGAAGACTTGATATCTGGTGATTTTACTCTGGATCATTACAAAAGTGATAAAAAAGTTAGTCCATTATATTATTTCCTAAGGATAATGTTTGCTTTCATTATGTTTTTATTGTTTTAACTTAACATAGAACCAGCATAGTGAATTATGGTGTACCGTTTGGTTTTTGGAAAAATGTAGAAAATTTGTAAATTAAATATTCCCTGAAAAACATAGAACACATGTTACTGAGTAAAGGAATATTTCTTGCAAATTAGATTTATATCAGAGCCTTGCATAAGTATTACAATTAAATATAAAACCGACACTAAATGACTATTGTGGTGTGTGCTACTTATATTTGACATAAGTAGTAGATGATGTTATTCGTGAACAGAAGGTCTGGCAGAAGAGAGACAAGAGGATCGAACAGCAAAGAATGGAAACAGGATGCAATTTGTATGAAAATGCAAGAACAATGAAGTCTGAGTCATTATGAGACAACTGATGGACATTTTACAAATTAAGCATTTATGATACGATTGTTAGATTTTATTAACAAGTCCTGTAATAATTGTCCCCGCCGGTGTTCTCGTTCACTACACTATAAGTTAAATTACAGTAACTGATTGTATAGTTGTAAAGTTCAAGGTTTATCTAACAGCGAACTAAAGTAAATTATTAACAGAACACATTATAATTACCAGCAGAAGACTTGAAATGTCTTGTTAAGTGGTCAACTAGAAGTGACGTAATAAGTTATAGCGACTCACATGCAAATGGGTTTATTCTCATTTAACTCAGTTAAGCCCTTTTGCTAACTTATTTAGCGGACAAAGCCATCCGCACTATAACAATTTATTGTACCCTTATTATTATTTTGTGCTTGTATGAAATATGCATGCTTGAATATTGCTTACGGCCTACGCATTTATTCACTCTGCTAGTCTTACTACTAACTGCTTATTTGATTCGATTACTCATTCATTTCACATGGTATATACATGTCCATGTTATTCATATTCAACACTCACTCACTCACACACTCTCGTCTCGCTCTTGCTCTGGCTCCCGTTCGCTTGCTTGCCTTTCGGCATAACTCTTCTATGCTTGTTTAACGCATCTGTACATTCGGATATATATGTGTGGTCTCGTAATAAACGTAATCAACACTTCGTATTTGCCTTCTGATTAATATACCGTTGGGACGTTATATAGAACGGTTATCAAGACGAACTGTATACGAAGTTTAAGGATTATATCGAATACCGACCACCACAAATTATTCAATGTAGATATACGGATACTTTTATAGTTGATGTTGGTCAGGAGGAAACGGTAGTTTTAGGTTTCCTGCTAGTCGGGGCTCATCACAAGGTGTACCTGAAATCTTATGGGAAGTGGTATTTCTTGTAAGACTAGTATTCACCTCACCCAGCTTTGGAGTCTCAGACGGAAACACTGAGCTATTTGAGGCTTAACTGAACATCTGTTGAACTGAGATATGTACAGAGGGTTCATCATTGAGTAGTTACTTTAGTTATGTTTGTTTAATCCTTCAGTGCCGATCGATTTCTATCGATGAAATTGTATTATTGCCGCTAATCTAATTGATTCATTATCATAGACACTATGTTGAACTGTTTTGTGGTTGGAGTTAGTCGGGAGAAAACCTTAGATCTAGTGTTCACTTTGGTTGGTACTCATCAAAAGAAGTACTTGTAATTTTAAGGGGACTGATGATTTCTGTGGTATTTATTCATTAAAAAAGACAGTAATTGTTTTTGTTTTACAATTTTCTATTGATAGTCAATCAACAATTAATCGAAAGTTGGATCGCTTTATCTATGTTATTATTTCCTTTATTACAAAAGAATTCTGACTACTGATAGTTTTAATTAACATTGTAATGTAAAGAATAATATATGAAACGTCTATTACTTACGATAATCGATTCGACATTAAACTTTCTCCTACTTGATTACAATTACCGATAACTTCATATACAACTCTAAGATAAATGGAATTTCCACTGGTTGAAATCATGAGTTGATTCAAGCTAGACCACCATGGAAAACCTGGAAGCACTAGACGGCCGTTTCGTTCACTAAACCCCTTCTGATATTAATCAACATATGCTCACTAGTGACTGACTTCAAGAGGTATATCTTAGAGTTCTAGTGAGAAGTAGTGACCAGTGGAGTTCAACCAGGTCTGTTGTGAGATAGTAACTCATTGGTGACGATGATAGATGTGTCGCTCAATTTTGTAGATTAGTTGAAGTTAGACATTAACACCGTTGGATGTCGGCTCAGTGGTCTAGTTGGTTAAGCGCCTGGCGCGAAACTGATAGGTCCTGCGTTGGAATCCCGCGATGCGGGGTCGTGGATGCGCACTGCTGAGGAGTCCCACAATAGGACGAAACGGCCGTCCAGTGCTTCCAAGTTTTCCATGGTGGTCTAGCTTCAATTGACTCATGATCTCAACTGTTGAAATTGATATATATTAGCTTGATATTTCTTTCTTTTTATTTAAAATCCTAGATCAATCGAATACTATCCGCTCAATCAAGTGTAATGAAACCAATTTTAAATCAAACTATTATACAACAACGTAATATTATTGCTGCACAAAATCGTGAAATTAATGCATTAAAAGCAGCTCACCGTTATTCTGAATGGTTATTAGAAGCACGAGCACATAAATTAGCTAAAAATATAATAGAAAAAGTAAAAGAATGATTTTTTTCTTTGAAATTAAACCAGGAGTTATTACTAGGACTTCATTGTTATTGTCAATAGTTTTCAAACGTACTATCATGTTATTTCATTATTTATTTTAAAGAAATGACTAAAATATGCTTCCAGTTGAATAGATAACCTACGGTTAGCAGTGAAAACCAAGATGGTCATTTCGTCCTGTTCTGTACACGTCAGTTCAATACATCCTGAACCCATAGTGATGTTCAAACCAGATCTAGAATTGAGTACCTATAATTTTAAGTGTCAGTTTGTTATTCACTAAGCTACTAGACCCAGTTTACTACCTATCTGTTTATTGATGATGTTATTAATATTGTTATTAGTATAGGTTTAAATTACTCTGTTATCGAAATTCAACACAGAAATTCGATCGATCTTTGTTGGTAAATGCATATCCTGCGTACATTACCTTGATATAATCGTTCTACTGCCAGCCACAGTTCATCTCTTCTAAATAATTTGTAACAAAATGGTTACATTAAGACTGTTTGAACCGGATCCACACGTACTATCAATGACTAATCAAAATCCATTATTGAATAAAAACAATAAGATAAACTTAAACCAAAGATGGATAGTGGCTAGCAGTGGAATTCAGGATGCGCGTTTCATCCTATTTGGGACTCGTCAGCTGGATGAACCTGCACCCCAGAGTTGATGTTCACTCTGGGACTCCAACCCAATACCGTTCACTTCAAACGCCATCTCATTATCCACTTATCTACTGAGTCTTTGTTTATAATACTTGTAAGTTAAGGCACTATCAATGTAATACGCACAGTATGCACACATGCCAATGAGAGACCGATCAATTGCAGTCTTAAACATCAATAGGAAGATTCAAGTATTAAAAAACACAACACCAAGTGGAATAAACTCTAACCCTTACTAATAATAATAATATGTTTCCAAGTTATTGAATAGTAATAACATGATATCTATATTTAAATTCTTTTGCTTTAGACTAATACAAAAATTAACGAAGCTGATAAATCTTCCTCTGAATTGAATGAACCATTAGTGTACGTTGAAAATGGTATAGATGATCAAGTTCATTCTCAACTAATGTATGTCTTCAATATTCCCAGATGTAATATTATTCGTTAATCAAAATTGTAATCAAGTTTCTAACATTTGAGTTATTATAATTTTTAGAAATATTTGCCAATGTGATGGCGACTTGTAATTACACAAATATTCAGGTGACTGATGTATTGACTAGATTACCGATGTTCTATTTGGTTAATATACAACGAGGAATAATGTTTCGAAGGTACATTCGTTCATGTGACGCTGTCTTAGCTCACTAAAACTTAAGTCGAGACACGACAACCGTTGACTTCTCCCTGATTATCAGTAACTCATTAGTTGATAACAGTTAATATCAAGTCGGACATATATCTAAGGTAAACCACTTAAGATATTCATGACGTTATTGACCATCTTGATTCGATCTTAATACATTTGTGAACATATATGACCAGGCCTATTTAGGTTTGATTAATGAACATTTCACCAAAGTTTGTATATGATGATTAAGAATGGCTATTTCAAATTGATCATTTGTAATTACTTAAAAAGTGGTCAAAGATTGCTCTCCTGAACCTGGTTCATTACAAATTTATGCCTGAGGATTAATACAGCCACTAATCAAAGTGTACAACTTAGTTGATAGTTTTACTATATATGTTTTTTTAAAATAAGTGGAGCTATGGTAAACTTAATAAGATTGATGTGTTTTATGGAGAACTTCATTATTTGATCATTGAATTTCCAAGACTCGTCAATTTTCGTTCTTCTAAATTTTGAAGTGTTTTTCCTTTTAATATTCCTTACTTTCATATAGCGCAGTCTTACTTGTCTCTATTAAAGTAGTGCATTTTACTGTGTTTAATTGTCTACCAGTGTTAATATCATTATTTCTGTAAGTTTGCTCTACAATTTTTAGATCTTGATAATTTCATTTTTATAATCATTGCCTGATGTAAGAAAAGAAAAGCATAGATCTCGAAAATATTTACACAAGGTTATGTAATTCTGAGTAAAGATGGATGCTGGCTAACAGTGGAATCCAGGACGTACATCGCGTCTTATTTGGGACTCGTCAGCTAAATGTACCCGCATCTCGGAGTTAATGTTCACTCCAGGATTCTAACCTATAACCGTTCGCCCTAAACGCCAAAGCTTTAGGGCGAGGTTTAAATTCATTTGGTATTATTTGTTTGAATCTATCTTTGTTTAGAATGCTTGTAACTTAATATAATATCGAGGTAATTCGTACAGGATGGATATATGCCAATAAGAGACTGATCATTTGCAATTCTAAACATCAATAAGAAGATTCAAATAACTAATACAAAATGAATTAAAGGTCACGTAATCTTGAGACGGTGGAGAAAATTTTGTAGCTCAAGTGGGTGATTTTGATGGAGTTTTGTTCTCTGATCTTGATGGTTTGGTCGTGGAGTATTCATCGTTTTTCTGAACGACATCATCAGCCCAAACGTCAGGTAAAAGTTCATACTGATGATGTCCCTCAGAAGAACAATGAATGCTCCACGACAAAACCGTCAAGATCAGAGAACAAAACTCCATCAAAAGTTATATAATGTTTTTCTACTGACCAATAACTAAAAAGAATTATTATTATTCAATGATTGCTTAAAATTTGTTTTTGATCATACTGAAAAACTTACTTACTTACTTACTTACGCCTGTTGCTCCTTGTGAAGTAGCACGGGCCGCTCACCAGAATTCTCCATCTAAACCTGTCCTGAGCAATCCTTTCCAGCTCTTTCCAGTTGTTATTCATCCTTTTCACATCTGATTCTATTTCCCGACGTAATTTGTTATTTGGCCTTCCACTTCTCCGCTTAAATTCAGGATTCCAAGTTAGAGCTTGCCTCGTAGCGCAGTTTCGTGATCTGCGTAATGTATGTCCTATTCACCAACTCCATCGTTTTTTTAGTAATTTTCTCTTCAACTGGAAGCTGTTTTGTTCTCTCCCACAGAAGGCTGTTACTGATGTTATCCGTCCAATGGATGTTGAGTATTTTGCATGAACAACTATTTATAAATACTTATACCTTCTTGATGATGATTGTAGTAGTTCTCGAAGTTTCAGCTTCGTACAATAGAACTGTCTTGACGTTCGTATTGAAGATTCTGACTTTGATATTGGTTGAAAGTTGTTTTGAGTTCCATTTGTTTTTCAATTTTAAGAATGCAGATACTCAAACACAACTATTTATATTTACTATTCTCTAAAATAAGTAGATTTTATACATATCACTAAAATAATTTACATTTCTTGACACTCTTTTCTTCTTTTTATTATTATTAACAAGATCAAACGAAATGAAAAATTCCATTAATGATAATCATTCAATGACAAATGATTTATCAGGACCAATTCCTTTAAAAACTATATTGATTAATAAAAAAAACTCATTTATTCAAAGTAAGTCTATAAATTTATGAATGTACAATAATCTTGAGTGAGATTATAATTTAAGGACGAACCAATCAAATTTAAGGTAAACAATCTTGAATTTTAATGTGAACTTCATTCATCAATTTGTCCAAACAACGTCTTGGCATCCTGGCTGATGTCAGTTCGTGATGAAAACCATAAATCTAAATCCTAACCCTTATCATCAATTGTAAATCATTATCTTTATTCTTCAAATTGCTTTATAACCTTCATTTAGCCTTATTAAATAGGTAGACACTCTTAAGGTCATCTTAGCGTCGCTCAAAGGTCGTCCATAAATTATAGCTTTATTCAATCTTTTTAGTTAGGTATAATGATGTAACATACTAAAAAAAATTTAAACACTAATTATTTGTAACCCATAACCTATAATCACCTGCTCACTAGTGACTGACTTCAGGAGATACTCCTGGAGTTCTAGTGAGAAGTCGTCATCAGTGGAGTTCAACCAGGTCTGTTGTGAGATAGGAACTCACTGAAGACAATGGTGTACGATGGCGCAACTTCGTGGGTCGGTTGAAGTTAGACATTAACACCGTTGGATGCCGGCTCAGTGGTCTAGTTGGTTAAGCGCCTGGCGCGAGACTGATAGGTCCTGGGTCCGAGTCTCGTGGGGGGATCGTGGGTGTGCACTGCTGAGGAGTTCCATACTAGGGCGAAGCGGCCGTCCAATGCTTTCAGGCTTTCCATGGTTGTCTAGCTTCAATTGACTCATGATTTCTACCAGTGAGATTTTATGTATTGATTATTCAAAATTGTTTTCAAATCAGGTTTCCTGTAAATTACACTACAATGTTATGCCTCTTAAACGATATTTATTAAATATTTCTACTCATCTTTGTTATATCACGTAACAGAACTGTCACTTCAATTAAACACCATCATAATAATATAACCATTGTTATAAACTCTTCAATTAAAACCACACAATAACATAGTTTGGACAATTTATTTTACTATGATGTATATTTCACTTCATCATTCTAACTATGATCAGGTATGTCGGTCTAGTGCGTAATTGTGGCTAGTGATACTCAACTCAATGATGATTGAAAGAGATATCACCTACAGCAGTGAATAAAGACGATACGATGTCATAACACGACTAAAGTTAAATATATAGATATTCAGATGCTGACTTAGTGGTCTAAAAATGCTGAGCTGACCATATAGCCTTTTGGTTTTGGATTTGATGTCTAATGGTGTCGCAGCTCTTCACTAGGATGAAACGACTGTCGAGTACTTTTTAGTGTTTAATAGTTATCTAAATAAATTCATTACTTTATGTAAGCTGTTTTTATAATGAACAATATCCAAAAGCCTTCTATTTTAATGCATTATACTTTTTTATATGAATTTATTCCATTGAACTATTTAGTTTGCATGTATCTAGGGTAATAGTAAGTAAGTGGAATACATTTCAATCCTCAATCCTCTTTTGCTTAAACTTACAAAAGGAACCAATAGAAGGCAAACGATATGTTAAGAAGTTGTATTTTAATTAGAAATTATTATAAAGCTTATTTAAATAAACTAAATCATAACAATTAAATGTGATAGTATACAAACTTTTAATTGAACTTGTCTTATTGTCGAGTATGTTTTTGTATTACCATGGTAACATGATCTGTTCAATATATCAACCAACTGAATTATATGACTTCAGAAATACTCTCATGGAATTTCTAAAATGTTGACTGATATTAATAAAGATAAAACGTTCAAGAAAAAAAAGCTTTTAATTTTAAGTAAACTGAGCTTTTCAAATAATATCTGTGAAGATTGAATAGATGATATACAGCTAAGACTATAAACAACTTCCTGTATTTGAAATTAAAGTCAAACATGTGCATTTAATTTTGTTTTTCAGTTACACATTAGCTCTATTACTGATTCTTAATGAAGCGAATAAAGGAAAATTCTCTGTAGATATGATTAAAACGAGACCTTTTGATTTGAGAAAATCATTTGCCTGATTTATCATCAAGTTATTAATATCTGATCTGAATATTGCACTGAATGGTAAATTCCCACTCAAACATTCAATTCCCTTTAGTGTGTCATCAATAGTGGTGAATGATAGTTCAACTGTTAAGATACTGATTATAACTTCTTAAGACTTTTGGAGATGATATAAACTGAAGAAGCGGCTATAGAAGAAGTGTATTATTACACATACGGAATATTTTAAATGGATTATTGTTGATCTATCCTAGAATATGTGAGATCAATTAGAGTATTACAGAAGATTTACCTATTATGACCTTAACGGAACCACTGATAAATGGATTACATTGGACACTCTCTATAAACCATAGTATTACCAACTGACAATACCTATCTTGTAATAATAATAAGTTAATAACAAGATACACCATCCAAAGTTATTATCATATGTTTTCTACCCGTATTGAATTACTAGTTTACTTCAGATACTTATAGATTACTTATAGAATAATTTCTTTTACCCTTTTAGAAATGGAAGAAAGAGCAGCTGAACGTGCTCGTCGACGTGCATTACAAGAAGAAAGAAGACGTGAAAATGAACAAAAGAAAAAAGTAGGCGTATTTCTAATTTCTTTAATTCATCAGTCTATAATAACAGTTTACTAGTGAGAAATATGACATAACAAAAATGCATATGACAACAACCTTTACATCCAGTACATTAGCTAAAACTTTCCATATAGGAAAACAGTAATTACCATTATGAATCAGTGTTCTTTATTCTTAATCTTTCTCCAACTCTCCTCTACATTAGTCAACATAGCAACTAGACATAGATAATAGTTGCGTATATTAACCTGTTAAAAAAATGATTAAACAATTTTAAGATTATGTTTAATGCGTATGTGAAGTCCAATGCTAGTTGTGAAATGGAGATGATCTATTTGTACTTTTAAAGAGTAAAAGTGATTGAACAAAGAATTTTACGTAATGAACTATTTACATGATTGTAAAAGTCGACGTGACTCCTTATGATAAATAGAATACTCTTTTGTTATTTATAAGAATATTTCTGATTGTGCTTTTTTTCTCATAACCAAAGGAACAGTTAGCTAAACAGTTAGAAGAAGAAGCTAACAGAATCAAACAAGAAAAGACAATGTTGAAGAATGAACAAAAAGAAAAGAAGATACGTGAAGAAGAGGTTGTCATTACTGTAGATGTTTTGTTGAGTTATTCAGACATTTCTTGTATATATATAAAACAGAATATTGGTATAGTGTTTAGAGATTAATTGGTGAGACTATAATTTATGGACGATATTTGAGCTGACGCTAAAGTGATGTTGAGAGTGTCCACTTAAAATTAGAATTATGATTTTAGAGTTGATGGTTAAGGCTAAGAATTAGATTTACGGGTTTTCATCACGAACTGACATCAGCTATATTACCGAAACTTTATGTAAGCAAACGGATGAGTGAATTTCGCGTCAAAATCCGAGACCTGTTATCTTTTACCTGATTGGTTCGTCCATAAATTATAGTCTCGCCGATTATTTGGTTTTTTTGGTTTACTATACGAAGTGACCAATGTTAGACAATATTGAAAACTAAGAAGGACTGAATAGATGTATTGTTTGAGCATGAGATTTCTCAGCATTGGGAATCTATGATACTTTCGAAATCCCAACTCAAGACTTTCAGATCCGTAAGACCCATAAATCCATAAGTTTGAATTCATTAGTTCGCATTTTCAACTTTGTTCAACTTATGGTTTTCTATTAAGTTTTTTTTTTTTTTAAAGTGATTTTCTTCGCGAATTGGCATGGGAAACTAGGGAACTCCTCTTTTTGATTGAGATCATGAACCGTTTGATGTTAGACCATCATTGAAAACTTGGAAGCACTGGACCTCCGTTTAGTCCTATTGTAGGACTTGTCAGCAGTGCGCATCCACGATCCCATTCGCGAAACTTGAACCCAAGGCTTTCAGTTTCGTATGCGAACGTTTAACCTCTAAACTTCCAATGGATTCCGCAAGCGGGATCATGGATGCGCACTGCTGACGAGTCCGACAATAGGACAAAATGGAGATCCAGTGCTTTCAGGTTTTCAATGATAGTCTAACATCAATAGGTTCATGATCTCAATCAAAAACTTAATAATCTCCATAACCCTATACTTGAATTCTCTTTGTCAGCTTGAAGATTGATCGGGTTTAATTCTGTTTGAATTGTTTAATTTTAATTTTTTTTCGGACAAATTACAATCACGTAAAAAAACCCAGTTAATCATTCAATTGATTTTCATCACTCTAATGTTTCCTTTACTGATAATAGCTTACAACAAAATGTTATTGGTAAATTACATGAAAGTCATCAAATATTGTCAATCTTATGCGGGATCGTGGATGCGCACTGCTTAGGAGTTCCATACTAGAACGAAACGGCCGTCCAGTGCTTTCAGGTTTTCCATGGTGGTCTAGCTTCAATTGAATCATGATTTCAATCAGTAAAATTTCTAAAATCTCCACAAAACCCCTTCTGATAATCTTATGTTTGTTTATTTTTTTAGTTAAAACAACAAAAAGAATTAAAATTAGCTTATCAACGTGAATTGAACTTAAAAGTTACTATGCATAGAAATATTTCATGTTTACGTTATTATGGTCTTAAACCATGGATAAATTATGTGTTAAAACAACATGAATTAATTCAGATGGCTGATTGTTATGAAAAGAAAACAATAATGAGGTAATTTATACTATATGATTTTATTTTTCATACAATTTAACATATTTGTAATCGCTTGACTTCGAGATAATTCCTTATCCATCACTTTGATAACAGTTCCGTCAGTCTGTCAGTAACAACGCAGAAATTCTTACGTACGTACATCATTTCGAGTTGCCATACCACATTAGCACAGAGATGCAGTTGTCGATTCAAATCCCGTTATTAAAAATAGATCTCAACGGTGTATAAATTCAAAAGGTAGCAGGATGAGCCGATTATAGTTTATTATTTGATAGCACAGATAAGAAAGTTTACAAGCTCACTAAGCGAGCAAGTGAATATAGAAGCGGATTCAGAGTCAAATCGAACCGAAGCGAAGCAATTGATAAGATTCAAGCACATATATACATATGGTAAAGCGAATGATTCATCGAGCGATAATTAAGCGACTAACATTTAAAGTAGAATGAGGCAATATATGTGTAAGCTGTCACATATAATCAATCAGACATGTTAGTGGTCATATTAAAATAAATATACGAATTGTTACTGTTTAAACAACACTATCGATTAAATGAGTTAATTGAACAGCTTGACAAAATTAACCGTAAACAAACTTAGTAGTAGAATAGGTGTTATATGCTTGGTTTGAAGCGGTTACGAGTTCACTTAATCTGCGAACGGAACAAGAATGGGTGGCCAAAGACCGATAAGTCAGCTATTTGATGTGTCCCAGCCCCGCTAACTAGAGGAAGAAGTCCAAGCTTGAAATGGGGAAGTATATTCCGCAAAAGCCGAAAGCACGAGCGATAATAACAGACACAAATCAAAACGTATATAGACAGCACAAAACCGTCCTTGGAGAGATTTACAAAATAGCATACTAAAAGATACAACGGACCAATGGCATTATTTACTTCTTTTCTTTGGTTGTATCTCCCATTGGTTTGATTTTTGTTCCTATGTTAGACAATGACAGGCTTAAGGTCAACAAGAATTAATCAACATCGTGATCTACAGGACAAGCTGTGAATCTCATGTGGAACAAATCTAACACTTCACTTGTACCTGAAGTTTGTGTTGATGATGTCGTTCAGAAGAACGATGAAAGCTCTACGATCAAACCATCCAACTCAGAGAACAAAACTCCATCAAAATCATCCACTTAAGCTATAAATCTTCTCCAGCATCTCAAAATACATGAAGTTAAGCTATGTAGTGTCAGTTATTATGTCAACCTTATTCGAGCTTTCGGACATCCCATTCTATTCATTGTACTTGAGTCATACATTGACATTGTTATTTATTCGCTTATCAATCTAGACTGTTTTTATATGAGCGTATATGTGTGTGCCCTTCTTATTCCATTAATCACATGTCTGTAGCTTTATTTTGTCTGACTATAAATATTGAGTAACGCTTGACAAAGATGGAGTTGGCTTTCCAGCCATCTTCCATACGTGTCATTTTTGCTTTGCTGTGCTTCATTCGCTTCATGTACGAAATATATGTATTCTCAAGTCAATTCTCGTTATTCGACTTATTTAATTCCGTTATTGGATAACGCGATTCAAGTCGACGATGATATACGAGAAAAGGCGATAACAAACATCCATACAAACATTCATACGATCTTGGAGTAAGGTCAAGCGGGCCACAAAAGCTATATTCGTTGTCGTTTGAATACATTGATACACAGTTACAAAGTAGAGAAAAATCACCATTCGTTGTTAATAGATTTCTTATAATTCTTAAAAGTGATCATTATTCATAATGAAAATTACATTGATATATGGTATCTTAATAATTCTATTATAAATTTTCTGCTTTAAATCACATTTATTCTTCCCAGAAATACATTTCACACTTGGTTACTACATTTAAAAATTAAATATGAACAAGAAACTAAATTTGTTCAATGTCATTACAATGTATTGCTAATGAAAAAAACTATAAAAGCACTTCAGAAGGTTAGTTTCATTGAAGTGAATTTACTTTAATTGAAATACATTCCACTGTATAGCTTAATTAATTCAAACCAAATTGTTTATTCAAAGATGATATGATAGTGTACATGCATAATATCAACATTAAGATTTAAATAATTAAAGGTTACTTAGTTACTTACTTACGCCTGTTACTCCTAATGGAGCATTGGCCGCCAAACAGCATTCTCCAAACCACTGTGTCCTGGGCCTTCTTTTCTAATTCTGTCTAATTCTTGTTCATTTTTCTCATGTCTATCTCCATTTTCCGGCGTATTGTGTTCTTTGGTCTTCCTCTTTTCCTTTGGCCTTGAAGATCCCACGTGAGGGCTTGTCTTGTAATGCAGTTGGGTGCTTTCCTCAATGTGTGTCCTATCCACTTCCAGTGCTTCTTCCTGATTTCTTTGTCCCCTGGGGTCCGGTTTGTTCTCTCCCACAGAGAGACAGGAGTCCCTTAGGGGGCTACTGCGGGTCCCAAACAAGGAGAAAGGAGGAGGATTGGGCATAAGGTTAGTGACCACATCCCGTAGAAAACGTACTCGCTAAAAAACGTTAACCAGAAAAAATTATTCAGACCATTTAAACTCTGCCCTGGGAGTCAGAAGGTCTTCATTTAAAAGAGTATGACACCTCATGATGATGATGATGATGATGATGATGAAAGCCGAATTAAAGGCTAGTCGATGATTAATTTCGACTGTTGGGATGAAGACCTTTTTTGAAAAATTGCAAAGAAAAATCACTGTGAATCTCCTTCATTAACTAGAATGTATCTCGGGCTTAACTACGTATTTCATTTTCAATTTTTTCTACACAAAAGCTAAGGAGAATCCAATATTAAATTATCTATTATTGAAAAGTTTCTAGGAAGATACATAGAATGTTGGAGCGAAATTTGTAGCTCAGGTGGGTAATTTGGCGGATTATATAAAATCCCATTGAGTGTTTCACCTTAAAGATTTGTTCAACTCCTAGATTCAAAAAAACTGGAATATATTTGAAAATAGTTTTGTTATGGAAAATAACATACTCAATCATAATTTACAAGTCACTAACCAATAAGGTGTCCAGATGTCATTCATATTATCAAAAATCCAGTTAAAGTGAATATGATTCATTTAAATAAATGAATAAGAATAAAATTACAGCACATAAGTGTGCCAAGTAGAATTATCAGCAACCAATGAAAATAAATCGTTTACTGTGTATCAAAAATAGAAAAGCCACTCAAAATCAACAAACTTCAAAGAGAAGCGAACGCAAATACGATTAAACAAAGAAAACAGTAAGTCATACTGTGGTGAGCAGAAAAGCTAACTGAAACATAAAACAAGAGTACAAAAATATGAAATGAGTGGTTTGTTGTGCCTACAACACATCTTTCGATAAATAGATCATAAAAATAGTAGAGTATGCTTCAAACTACTGATTAATAATAAATAATATCGATTGATATACTAAAGAGTCGAAGCTAATATAACACGCGATAAATAACAAGTCAAGGAAACGCTTTTCCCACTTCAAAACTCCACATTACATAACGAATCAACGTTTCGACAGGAACCTATTCTTTGTGAAACTATATGGGCCTTTCCAAGCGCAATGTACTTTAGTTGCAATTAAACATTATTAAATGATGAATGGTACATCGAAGAAATATTCAGTCGAATAGAAGTGTAGTCAGTCACTTTATGCTTCTAACTAATCTATTATAATTACCCCATTGAGCTTAAACACATTTTTTATCCTTCATAGTCAGAGAGAATCACTTTGAGTGGCTTTATCTATAGCTTATAGTGGTTTTTGTCTCATTTGATTTGTTTTCTCAATGCATTTATATGATATTAGATAAAGTGAATCAAGAGTTATTTGTAGATCATTTATTTTAATATTAGCAGCTTCTTCTGAGCTAGATGCTACAGTCCCCTCCTACACAACACTACCAACAGTAAATTCAAAAATGAGTTAATACATTTTCCATAAGGAATGTGATTATGATGAGAATGATATAGTCTTGAAAGGCAAGAGGACTTGATGATTAAATGGTACAGATTGGAAAACTCAACTTAAATATACTTCCTGTGAACTATAGATTTTGTTCAACATGCTGAAAAATATCCCACTAGATTATTTATTTTCGTATGTTGTTCGTTGTATGCATAGATAATTGTGACCGTGTCCTCTCATATTATTACTATTATACTATCATTATCATTATTATTATACAGGCTTGTGAAATACGTAAAGAGAATGAGACTTTTGCTAACAAATGGTATCATAAACAGCTTCTACGAAGTAGTTTTTTATTTTGGGTTCAGTACGTAACTGATCTTTGCATTCAAGAATGGCAACAAGGGGAAACTGCTTTGGAACATTATAACAGGTAGGATCTTCAGAGATATATATGTATCATAATTGTTTGACCACAACTTTTCACAGTAATGATGATGTCTAACATATGTCTCAGATTAAAAGAACAATGACCATTAATATATAACAAGTTATTGTATAATACTTTGAGAAAATGACAGTTAAATCAAAGTTATTTATAAAACTGAAAACCTATACTAAATATGTAATGTTTGAAATTCGAATAATTACTATACCGCAATAATTTCGCAGTAGAAAGACAGTTTACAAGCAGAGATGAATAGTGGCTGGCAACCGAATCCAGTACGCTCATTTCGTCTCATTCGGGACTCGTCAGTTGGATGTGCCTACACCTTAGAGTTAATGTTCACTCTGAAACTCGATCCCACTACCGTTCGCTTCAAACGTCTTCAAATTAGCTACTAACTCCTGATAGCAACCTAATTATGCAATGGGATAAAATGTTTATTTATATCTTCCAAATATTGTTTAGGACGATGCAAGCAAACAACACAATGTGAACTTTAATTTTCTGTCAAATATTTTTTTTAAATATGCTTAAAACTGATTATTTTTTTAAAAATAATTCATGGATTGGTTGAAGTTAGTCATTAACACCATTAGATACCGGCTCGGTGATCTGGGGATTAAGCGTTCACGCGTGAGACTGATGTGTTATGGGTTAGAATCTCGCGGAGCGGGATCGTGGATATGCACTTCTAAGGAATTCCACAACTAAACAAAACATGCTGATAAATCTTGCAAATTGAACTCTATATTCGTTTCCTAAGCTATTCTGTAACCCCCGAGCTAGAACTATACAGCGGCCTGAACAACGAAAGAGAAGACACGAAGTATGCGAGAAGCACTTTTTCCAAGGTTCATTTCAATACAGAAAATACAGGGTTTTCATAATATTTCTAATGTCCTTGGGTTGCTAGAAGATTCTGGAATGCTACTAAACATAGTAAGCAGTGTAGTAATCAGCCAATCAGAACCTCTGCCTGTGATATTTCTGGCTAAAACTTCAAGTGAACGCTGATTGGAGAAACACTTCTTAGTGTTTTCCTGATCCTTGCTCGACGTTTGCGAGAAATTTTCTAGGTCACCCCAACACATCCATCCAGTGCTTCTAGGTTTTCCATGGTGATATAGCTTCCATTCACTCATGACATTAATTATTTAAAAAAATAATTTATTTGATTGAAGTATTATTATTTCATTTTTTATTTATTTTATAAAGGCACCTATTGTATGTTTGTTTTAAAATTTGGATTGATTTTCCAAATCAACAACGTGTACAACGTCAACGAGAATATCGTCGTGAACAATTTCGTAAATGTCTACTTGATATTATACCTGATTTTAATCCACCTAAACAAGATATCAATGAAATGGACTAAATGTTTACATAAATTGTTATCATTGTTTAAGTCGAAATTGTAATTATGTAATATTGTAAAGTTTTTTTATTGTTGTTGTTATTCTGATCAATATATTTGGTTTATAAAAATGTAATAATAATGTAAAATCTCAAATCATAATATGCCATGAGGGTTGCTAAGTTTACTATTTGGTTAACATTGAATACAATCACAATTGATTGATCGCTGGGTGGTGATCAATGTCATGAGTATCTAGTCCTTATTAGTGCAGATCGAATGCTATCGATCATGTTGCAATGCGGCCACCAGTCTAGGTGACTCGACACTGCGGGCGCTATGTATTGAGATTTAGATGGTAGTTGGAGGTAGTCAACAGGAAACCCTGGACCCGGGTTTTGTACTACTTGGCACTCGTCAGCATCTCAGTCCTACAGGAGGTCGGTCGTGGCTCGGATAGCTCAGTGGTAACGTCTCTGACTGTGAAGCTAGGTGACACGAGATCAAATCCTCCAGGGAGCACCAGTTCCCTCAAGATTACAGGTACACCTTGCCGCCTGTAGCTCTTATAGGGTTACTGCCGGTCCCAAGCCCGGGTAAAGGAGGAGGGTTGGGCATGGGGTTAGCGTCCCCATCCCGTAGGAAACTAACTCGCTAAAAAGACGCTTACCAGAAAAAATAATCCAAACCATTTCAACTCTGCCCTGGGAGTTAGAAGGTCTTCATTTAGAAGAATTATGACGCTTCATGGTGAAAGCCGAGTTCCTTCGGAAGCCACGAGGCCGATGCCCCTTCTAACAACTAGAGCAAAAATTTTTGTAGGTACATGGAACGTGCGAACAATGTGGGAAACCGGGAAGACCAGTCAAATAGCAACGGAAATGAGGAGATACAAGTTGGCATTACTGGGAATCAGCGAAACCCACTGGACCCAAGCTGGACAACAAAGGCTAAATACGGGAGAGATGCTGCTATACTCCGGCCGCGAAGACGAAAATGCTCCACACACTCAGGGAGTCGCCCTTATGCTGTCCAAAGTAGCATGAAATGCACTTGTAGGATGGGAATCTCACGGATCCAGAATCATCAAAGCATCATTCAAAACAAAGAAGGAGGGGATTTTAATGAATATTATCCAATGTTATGCACACACCAATGATAGCAACGACGACATTAAAGATCAACTCTACGAGCGGCTGCATTCAATCATAGAGAAATGCCCAAGAAAGGACCTCACCATTCTAATGGGAGATCTAAATGCCAAAGTTGGAATAGACAACACCAGATATGAAGATATCATGGGACGATATGGATTGACTGGGAGAGAGAAACGAAAATGGAGACAGATTTGCAAATCTGTATGTATTCAACAAATTGGTCATAGGAGGCACGATGTTTCCACACGAATGTATACGCAAAGCTACATTGATCTCACCGGACCACACTACAGTGAACCAAATAGATCATATTTGCATCAACCAAAAATTTCAAAGGACAATGGAAGATGTGAGAACTAGGAGAGGAGCTGACATAGCTTCAGATCACCATCTTGTTGTGGCCAATTTAAAACTGAAGCTAAAGAAAACTGGACAAACAGTATTACTAAGCTTCAATACAGCCTTCCTTCGAGATACTGACAAACTCAATGAATTCAAGATAGCTCTCAACAACAGGTTCCAAGCCTTACGGGATCTACTGAAGGAAAAAGAAACTACTATGGAGGACAACTGGAGAGGTATCAAAGAAGCATTAACTTCAACGCATCAGGAGATTCTGGGCCTCAAGAAGCATCATTGCAAGGAATAGATCTCTATAGAAACACTGGACAGGATGAAAAAAGGAAGAACAAGAAGGCAGCAATAAACAACAGCCGAACAGGAGCAGAGAAAGTCCAAGCACAAGCTGAATACATAGAAGCAAACAAACAAGTGAAGAGGAGCATTAGAGCCGACAAGAGGAAATTCGTGGAAGAACTAGCAACGACGGCATAAAAAGCTGCTAGAGAAGGAAATATGAAACAGCTTCACGATACAACGAAGAAACTAGCAGGGAAATACAGTAAACCAGAGAGGCCGGTCAAGGACAAAGAAGGCAAACCAATCACCGAAATTCAAAAACAGAGTAACGGATGGGTAGAATACTCCTGAACAGGCCGGCTCAAATGAATCCACCGGACATCGAAGCAGCACACACAGATCTTCCTATAGATGTCAACCCACCAACGACGGAAGAAATTAGAATGGCCGTCAGACAAATCAAGAACGGGAAAGCAGCAGGACCCGACAACATACCAGCTGAAGCACTGAAATCAGACATCGAAGCAACCACAAGCATGCTTTACCTTCTATTCAAAAAGATTTGGGAGGAGGAACAAATGCCGATGGACTGGAAAGAAGGACACCTCATCAAGATTCCAAAGAGAGGAGATCTGAGTAAATGGGAAAACTACAGAGGCATTACACTACGTTCAATACCAGGGAAAGTCTTCAACAGAGTGTTGCTGAACCGGATGAAGGATGCAGTAGACGCCCAACTTCGAGATCAACAAGCTGGATTCCGTAAGGATCGGTCGTGCACAGACCGAATTGCGACACTACGGATCATCGCCGAACAATCAGTTGAGTGGGACTCGTCACTGTACATCAACTTCATTGATTATGAAAAGGCATTTGACAGTGTAGATAGGAGGACATTATGGAAACTTCTTCGACACTACGGAATTCCTGAGAAGATTGTCAATATTATCCGGAACTCATACGACGGACTACAGTGCAAAGTAGTGCATGGAGGACAGCTGACAGATGCATTCCAAGTAAGGACCGGAGACAGATAAGGCTGTTTACTCTCTCCCTTCCTCTTTCTTCTGGTGGTCGGCTGGATTATGAAGACCTCGACATCTGAAGGAAAACACGGAATACAATGGACAGCTCAGAACCAATTAGACGATCTGGACTTCGCAGATGACCTAGCCCTCCTATCACGTACACACGAACAGATGCAGATGAAGACAGCCAGTGTAGCAGCAGTCTCTGCATCAGTAGGCCTCAGCATACACAAAGGGAAAACTAAGGTCCTCAAATTCAAAGCAGAGAACAGTAATCCAATCACTCTTGATGGCGAAACTCTGGAAGGTGTAGAGTCCTTCACATACGTGAGAAGCATCATCGATGAACAAGGAGGTCCAGATGCAGACGTAAAGGCGAGGATCGGCAAAGCAAGGGTCGCATTCCTACAATTGAAGAACATACGGAACTCAAAACAACTTTCAACCAATATCAAAGTGAGAATCTTCAATACGAACGTCAAGGCAGTTCTACTGTATGGAGCTGAAACTTGGAGAACTACAACAACCACAATCAAGAAAGTATAAGTATTTATAAACAGCTGTCTACGCAAGATACTCAACATCCATTGGCCGGATACCATCAGCAATAGCCTTCTGTGGGAGAGAACAAACCAACTTCTAGATGAAGAAGAAATTAGGAAGAAACCATGGAGTAGTGGACAGAACATACATTACGCAAATCGTCAAACTGCATCACGAGGCAAGCCCTAACTTGGAATCCTGAAGGGAAGCGAAAAAGAGGAAGGCCAAAGAACACATTGCGTCGGATAATAGAAACAGATATGAAAAGGACGAATTACAACTGGAAGGAGCTAGAAAAGATCGCCCAGGACAGGGTTGGATGGAGAATGCTGGTGAGCGGCCTATGCTACTTCACGAGGAGTAACAGGCGTAAGTAGGTAAGTAACCTCCAACCACCATCTAATAGAATAAAATATACAACTATGGAACTTGAATGCATAGAACCCTCCGAAAGACATAAATCAGAAAATAGAAGACTTTAGAAGTGGTTGTTGGATAAGAATCAATATGTACAGAAAACCATGGGTATTTATAGATATTAGAGTTTATTATATTAAATATTATAATTCAGCCAATCCATATCATTCGTGAAATTCATTTTGACAAAATGTGTGTTGGCGTTCTGGGGAGTGTTTTAACTGGACGTAGTGGGATGTTTGGTTTGTGTATTTTCGGTCTGTCGTAGAATCGAGGAAGTACTGGTCCATTGGATTTCATTCTCTATTGGTCTTGTTTTGTTATTTCTCCTGCTTTGATGAGCTTGTTTAAAGTCTTTGAGATTCGGTTGTCTAACTTTTTGACTGGATTTATGTCCATCAGTTTGTATGTGCTCTTATCCTGAACTAGTTCCTCGGCGTTTTTTGACGTATTCTTCTTTGTCCATAATCACAGTGGTGAGTCCCTTGTCCGCTGGAACTATGATAATATCCTTTCTAGTTCTGAGTTTCTTCAAAGACTAAATCCTTGCTTCTCACTAACGACACAATTTTAAAATCTACTAGAACTCATCGATTTATGCCTAACAACATATTTTCAATTCAATAACAAAATCTACGAACAAACAAAAGGGACACCAATGGGATCACCAATATCAGGACTGATCGGAGAGGCAGTGATGCAAAGATTAGAAGCCGCTTTATTACCAGTGATCAAGCCAAAAAATTTGGATTCGCTATGTAGACGACACCTTCGTCATCGTCAAAAATAAAGAAGTGGAAAACACTTATAAACTGATCAACAACGTTTCCAATGGCATCAAGTTCACAATGGAACAGGAGTCAAACAAGAAACTACCATTCTTGGATATATTAACCACCAGAACCGACACAGGAAAAATGGAAACTCAAGTGCATAGGAAGCTGACCCACACTGATCAAATTTTCAACTACAATATCAACAACCCAAGAGCTCAAAAAATCAAATACGTACACACTTTGTTCAAGAGAGCGAGGACACACTGCAGCACACTGGCAGCACGAAAAAAATGAAGAGAAATACGTGAAGGGCGTATTCCAAAAGAACGGCTACCCAATCAACGTCATCAAAAAATACCAGCCGCACGCATCATCAGGATCCAAGTCAAGCACAGAAATCATCAACCATACATAAAAGGCATATCAGAAACCGCAACAAGACTGCTGAAAACCTTCGAAATAGATGTGGCACACAAACCGACAAA